CAATAAATCCAGGAATTTGGGGATTTTTGCCTACCTAGGACTAACATTCACTTACCTCCTATAACCCCATATTGTGTGACTCCCTACTCTGGTGTAGCGCATGCACAGAGTGTGTCTGAATGTTCTCACATGGACATAACGTTGTGACTCCATATTGGGGGTTTGTCAGTGTGTGACTCTCTACTCCGGTGTAGCGCATGCACAGAGTGTGTCTGAATGTCTCACATGGACATAACGTTGTGACTCCATATTGGGGGTTTGTCAGTGTGTGACTCTCTACTCCGGTGTAGCGCATGCACAGAGTGTGTCTGAATGTCTCACATGGACATAACGTTGTGACTCCATATTGGGGGTTTGTCAGTGTGTGACTCTCTACTCCGGTGTAGCGCATGCACAGAGTGTGTCTGAATGTCTCACATGGACATAACGTTGTGACTCCATATTGGGGGTTTGTCAGTGTGTGACTCTCTACTCCGGTGTAGCGCATGCACAGAGTGTGTCTGAATGTCTCACATGGACATAACGTTGTGACTCCATATTGGGGGTTTGTCAGTGTGTGACTCTCTACTCCGGTGTAGCGCATGCACAGAGTGTGTCTGAATGTCTCACATGGACATAACGTTGTGACTCCATATTGGGGGTTTGTCAGTGTGTGACTCTCTACTCCGGTGTAGCGCATGCACAGAGTGTGTCTGAATGTCTCACATGGACATAGCGTTGTGACTCCATATTGGGGGTTTGTCAGTGTGTGACTCCCTACTCTGGTGTAGCGCATGCACAGAGTGTCTCTGAATGTTCTCACATGGACATAACATCGTGACTCCATAATGGGGGTTTGTCAGTGTGTGACTCCCTACTCCGGTTTAGCACATGCACAGAGTGTGTCTGAATGTTCTCACATGGACACAATGTCGTGACTCCATATTGGGGGTTTGTCAGTGTGTGACTCCCTACTCCGGTGTAGCGCATGCACAGAGTGTGTCTGAATGTTCTCACATGGACATAACATCGTGACTCCATGTTGGGGGTTTGTCAGTGTGTGACTCTCTACTCCGGTGTAGCGCATTCACAGAGTGTGTCTGAATGTTCTTACATGGACCCAAAGTCGTGACTCCTTATTATGTGTTTGTCAGTGTGTGACTCCCTACTCCGGTGTAGTGCATGCACAGAGTGTGTCTGAATGTTCTCACATGGACATAACATCATGACTCCATATTGGGGGTTTGTCAGTGTGTGACTCTCTACTCCGGTGTAGCGCATGCACAGAGTGTGTCTGAATGTTCTCACATGGACATAACGTTGTGACTCCATATTGGGGGTTTGTCAGTGTGTGACTCCCTACTCCGGTGTAGCGCATGCACAGAGTGTGTCTGAATGTTCTCACATGGACCCAACGTTGTGACTCCATATTGGGGGTTTGTCAGTGTGTGACTCTCTACTCCGGTGTAGCGCATGCACAGAGTGTGTCTGAATGTTCTCACATGGACATAACGTTGTGACTCCATATTGGGGGTTTGTCAGTGTGTGACTCCCTACTCCGGTGTAGCGCATGCACAGAGTGTGTCTGAATGTTCTCACATGGACACAACGTCGTGACTCCATATTGGGGGTTTGTCAGTGTGTGACTCCCTATTCCGGTGTAGCGCATGCACAGAGTGTCTCTGAATGTTCTCACATGGACACAACGTCGTGACTCCATATTGGGGGTTTGTCAGTGTGTGACTCCCTACTCCGGTTTAGCACAAGCACAGAGTGTCTCTGAATGTTCTCACATGGACATAACGTTGTGACTCCATATTGGGGGTTTGTCAGTGTGTGACTTCCTACTCCGGTGTAGCGCATGCACAGAGTGTGTCTGAATGTTCTCACATGGACACAACGTCGTGACTCCATATTGGGGGTTTGTCAGTGTGTGACTTCCTACTCCGGTGTAGCGCATGCACAGAGTGTGTCTGAATGTTCTCACATGGATACAACGTCGTGACTCCTTATTATGTGTTTGTCAGTGTGTGACTCCCTACTCCGGTGTAGTGCATGCACAGAGTGTGTCTGAATGTTCTCACATGGACATAACATCGTGACTCCATATTGGGGGTTTGTCAGTGTGTGACTCCCTACTCCGGTGTAGCACATGCACAGAGTGTCTCTGAATGTTCTCACATGGACATAACGTTGTGACTCCATATTGGGGGTTTGTCAGTGTGTGACTTCCTACTCCGGTGTAGCGCATGCACAGAGTGTCTCCGAATGTTCTCACATGGACACAACGTTGTGACTCCATATTGGGGGTTTGTCAGTGTGTGACTTCCTACTCCGGTGTAGCGCATGCACAGAGTGTCTCTGAATGTTCTCACATGGACACAACGTCGTGACTCCATATTGGGGGTTTGTCAGTGTGTGACTTCCTACTCCGGTGTAGCACATGCACAGAGTGTCTCTGAATGTTCTCACATGGACATAACGTTGTGACTCCATATTGGGGGTTTGTCAGTGTGTGACTTCCTACTCCGGTGTAGCGCATGCACAGAGTGTCTCCGAATGTTCTCACATGGACACAACGTTGTGACTCCATATTGGGGGTTTGTCAGTGTGTGACTTCCTACTCCGGTGTAGCGCATGCACAGAGTGTCTCTGAATGTTCTCACATGGACATAACGTTGTGACTCCATATTGGGGGTTTGTCAGTGTGTGACTTCCTACTCCGGTGTAGCGCATGCACAGAGTGTCTCTGAATGTTCTCACATGGACACAACGTCGTGACTCCATATTGGGGGTTTGTCAGTGTGTGACTTCCTACTCCGGTGTAGTGCATGCACAGAGTGTGTCTGAATGTTCTCACATGGATACAACGTCGTGACTCCATATTGCTCAGATTAAGACTATTTCATTGTGCTCTTACTCTGCATTGACTGTGGAAAATTTTATGAAAAAAACCCAGAAACAAACGACAGCCCAGAAGGACATGGAAATGAACTTGTAACTGTTGTGCTAAATCCAGGACTGTTGGTAGTTATATATTTACTGATCTTCCCACGTTAAACTTGAGGAAAACCAAGTCACACTTCCTTTTTTTGATGATCACTCGCCTTCACCCTCAAATCTTTGAAAGCCTTGGCATTGAAGAGGTTAATGTAAATTTGGATTGCTCCGACTGAGCACTCAGCTCCCAGACTAAAAACCTCAGCTCCACGGATGGACTTTACAAGATGCCACTTTAATAAATGATCCACTTTGTAATACAATTCCCAGGGGTATTTTATAGCAGGAAGGGGGGGGGGGGAATCCCAGCATTCCGGGACTTATTAACCTCTTGTATGCCAGGACCATTCTGATGTACGGTCCTTTACCCAGTGCTGCTACATGAAAGATCAAACACGTACTGTCAGCCTTTGCTATTAGCGAGATTTCTAGTAGTCATATCTAATATCTCAGAGCCGGGGAAAACATCTGGCCCTGAATATTCAGCTGGTGAGAGGGTAGAATACAGCAGCGGTGCAGGTCATGGGGTGAGAAACCTGGAAAAAAATCAGAGGAACTAAAATCCAAACAAAAAGACCATCAGAACGAGAAGCCAGAGGCGATTGATCTCTATAATATTGTGATGTATACGGCACCTTTCACACAAACTTCAGAAAGAACTCGATTTTCAATAAAAAAGTTTTCTGCATTTTTACTGAACTCCTGTGAGGACCGAGAGAGAAAGTTAAATGGACTTTGGCATTCCACAGCCAAAAACTTGGTTTATCTAATTCGACTTTTTGGATTTGGGTTCGATCCATGTGATGTATCAGTTCAGACATATTTAGTCCACACGGTTGTTTAACGATTCAGATTAATCAAAATGCTGCTAAAATAACTGGCCAATCAGTTTACTGCAAAACAGATACATAATATACATTTTAATAATATTTATCTTTTACAGAACATTGATTGGATCATTTTCTCTCCAGTTGGTTCACACATCAAGTGACAAAAAGTTACCAATAGAGTAAAAGAGGAGCGGTAAAAAGAAATCTACATTGCGATATTTATAGTTCCATATTTATTACATATATAATATATAAATAGAGATTTATTATTTTACGGGTCCTCCTTTTTTCCCTGTGTCTTCTCACTTGATCCATCGCCCATTTAGTTTGTGTCATGACTACATCCAGGTACCGTTTCTGAGTTCAGGATTTCGGACGGGTCACGGATTCACCAAAACCTGGAAAAATACTCATTTATTTGAAGCTCAATGCACAAGTCTAGCACTTATGATTTGATTTTATTATTTGTATCTTGGATTTATAATAGAAAATGGCTGATTATTCGATAAACTATTTATGGAGAAAGAAAATGCTTTCTAAATTTCAAGCAAAAATAGCCGATTATGTTTCCAATTGGTCTAAAATGTGAAATTGCGTCGTCAGTTCTTCACAATTGCTGTATGTTTGGTGGTTGTATAAAAAGAAAAAACATTTTGTGAAAATGAAAAACAAAGAAAAAATGTTAAAAATTTTTTTTTTTTAAACCAGATCAAACCATAAGTTCTGGAGGACACTAACCCTGCCTGCTCGAGAGAAGCCATATGAAACCCACATGACAGCACGGCCTTTTCCCCCTTTTCATTAGACACTAGTGAACCAGCAGACAATTAGAACAACAATTCATTATCAGATTTTCAAACCAAACAAATGTAGCAATTAATAGATTCATCATGTAACAAAGCACTTTGACCTAGAAACTATAATGTATATACTTTCTCGCCGGAGGAAAATAATTCTTTCTTTCTTCAAAGCAGACGGATTTCAAAGGATATTTATCAATGTTCTCTGCAATAATCTGCATCATATTTAGTTGGCAAAAAGTGCGAAAGATCCAGCTGATTTGTATGAGTTGGTTGTAGAGTCAGCGCTATCCTGTATTGTGGGGGACAGTGAGATGTTACAACATTAAAAAAGAAGGCTCCCCCTGTGCGTTCAACCACCTTGTCCAGGAGTGTGGAATTTAAATAAGTCTTACAAGAAAGGGGCAACATCACGTTTACTGAACAGAACCAGCGCAGTTACATCACGTTTACTGAACAGAACCACCGCGGTCACATGACGTTTACTAAACAGAACCACCGCGGTCACATCATGTTCACTGATTAGAACCACTGCGGTCACATCACGTTTACTGAACAGAACCAGCACAGTCACATAACGTTTACTGAACAGAACCAGCACTGTCCCATCACGTTTACTGAACAGAACCAGCGCAGTGACATAACGTTTACTGAACAGAACCAGCGCAGTCACATAACGTTTACTGAACAGAACCAGTGCACACATATCACGTTTAGGTAACAGAACCAGCACAGGCACATCATGTTTACGTAACAGAACCAGTGCAATCACATCAAGTTTATGTAACAGAACCAGCGCAGGCACATCGCATTTACTGAACAGAACCAGCGCAGTCACATCACGTTTACTGAACAGAACCACCGCGGTCACATGACGTTTACTAAACAGAACCACCGCGGTCACATCATGTTCACTGATTAGAACCACTGCGGTCACATCACGTTTACTGAACAGAACCAGCACAGTCACATAACGTTTACTGAACAGAACCAGCACTGTCCCATCACGTTTACTGAACAGAACCAGCGCAGTGACATAACGTTTACTGAACAGAACCAGCGCAGTCACATAACGTTTACTGAACAGAACCAGTGCACACATATCACGTTTAGGTAACAGAACCAGCACAGGCACATCATGTTTACGTAACAGAACCAGTGCAATCACATCAAGTTTATGTAACAGAACCAGCGCAGGCACATCGCATTTACTGAACAGAACCAGCGCAGTCACATCACGTTTACTGAACAGAACCACCGCGGTCACATGATGTTTACTGCACAGAACCACTGCGGTCACATGACGCTTACTGAACAAAACCAGCACTGTCCCATCACGTTTACTGAACAGAACCAGCGCAGTCACATCACGTTTACTGAACAGAACCAGCGCGGTCACATCACGTTTACTGAACAGAACCAGCGCAGTCACATCACGTTTACTGAACAGAACCAGCGCAGTCACATCGCGTTTACTGAACAGAACCAGGGCAGTCACATCACGGTTACTCAAAAGGAAATTTGTTATTTTAAATGTTCCGTCTTTAACTCTTTAGCTCCCTTACAGCTCAGTCAGAGGGCAATTGAACTCCAGGGGCCGGGCCTTGAATCTGCTTTGAAATGTGTGCAGTTCACTGATTCAAACAGAGCCCATCATTTATAGATGGCAGAGTTCATTAGTCACTGGTAACAGTTTCATTATTAGCATTTTAACATGTCAACCTTTAACTAGAGGGAGGCTTTTAGGGAACAAAACAGGGGCTTTCGGTAATGAGAAAGAATTAATCCTTCTGTGTTCTGGTAATAGCTTTCTATTAGAGAGGACATTTCATGCTAAACGGATCTGATTAAAAGTAACTGTACAGCTAATATTAAAATCAGCCCATACACATTCTACCAACACAAGGAAATAAAGGCTAAAACCAAGCACGGCGATTCTCAACATTAACCCCTCTTACACCAGGCTGGGGGTTTTAAAACTCAATGGAAAAAGGAAATCACACGACTTATTGGATATTATTGTAACAAATTCATGATGAATACCCTCTTCCTATACAGAGATTTCATCTCAGTTGGACCTGGGTCTCGACCTCCCAATTTAAGGGACATAAAGCTCTTTTTATAAAGAATGAAATATTGGGGGCCTTAGCCAGCTCAGGTTTCTGACGGGTTTTCTTTAAGGCTACTCCGTGGCGGTTCTCCAGTGTAACTTGGATGATGGGGAGGACGGGAGAAACGTTTGATCGGACCACTGGGTTTTTTTATCGTATGGGGGCACTTAGTGTTTATATTTGGAACCGATTATAACTATTTTATTGTTTTTTTATCTTTAACTTGTTGATGTTTGTTTTACTTTCTTATCTAACTCCGGCACTCAGTATATTCTTTTCATTTGTTAAAAAACCCAATAAAATATTTATGTGTATGTGTTCCGCAGTTTATAGCATTGGGATATGTACTATGTGTACATGTTATATATTTGATGTGTAAATAAGTGTATATAGAAATAAATGCACCCACACTTATTATATATCATTTTATTCAGGAGAAACAGGGTTTTTATTTCACATCAAATATTTATATATTGAACATATTTTAATATGAATAAAAAGAAAAAAATGTGAAAGAGATTAAGAAATCTTATTTCTTTAGATCTGCATAGCATTTCAACTGTGAATGTTATGATACTGTTTGCTTTTACTACAATAAAATACACATATTTGTATTCAGCGATGTCTCCAAAGTATAACAGTACCCTCCATGTACAGGTTGTATGGTGTTTTGGAAAGTTACAGGGTTACATATAGCAAGTTGCCTTTTTCAGTTTATACACATTGAAATTCGCCAGATTGGTTACGTTGCCTTTGAGACTGTACGGTAGCCCAGGAATGAGAAATACTCCCATCATAGCATCATGGCAAACCAATATATTCAAAATAAGATATGTCCCAGCTTTTTTGAGTAGCCACTTAGTCACAAACACTGGTCAAAGTTAGCGTTCAGATCTAAAAAAGACTGGATCTGGACTGGACCCCTTTGCAATACCTTGGGTTGTCTTATTTTGCAAATCGTATGCCATCATGGGGGAATTCTCATTCCCGGGCTACCATATGATCTCAAAGGCAACATGACCAAATTAACCAATGTGAAAAAACTGAAACGGGCAAGCCTTATATTAGACCCTGTATGATATTGTCAGTAAAAGTTCTGTTTGTGTATGAAAAATGCAAAAAAACAAAACCCTGCACTTTCACTGAGAATATCATTGTTGTAATACATTTTACTGTTTTGAAACACTAATATTTGTGTTCAGCGAAGTCTCCCGAGTAAAACAGTACCCTCCATGTACAGGTTTTAGGGTGTCTTGGAAAGTTACAGGGTTAAATACAGTGCTAGCAAATTAAATTCTCTGGACTTTCTGCCTGGGTTATCAGACAGGTCCCTCAAATTGTAATTAATAAAATGACTTAATTATTTAAAAATATTACATAGATATAAACGTAGAATTTAAATATATACATATATATATATATATATAAATTATTTTTATTGGTATATATATATATAATGAAACCAAGAGGGCTGCACTCACCTGAACATGCATACCTTATAGGGTGTTGCTGGGGCCAAAATATACAACATACAAAATACACAATCCAGCGCACTCGCTTATTCACTGAACAATGATTTCAAATCTCACAGATTGTAATAGATTTATTTAAAAACACCTCACCTAGGCAAAAAGTTATGGGGGTTTAGTTACATTATATAATCATATATTGCATAAGCCTGCCACAACGTCAATGTACCCTATTCTTGGCAGGTCCTACTCTAGCAGCCTAATGTCTGCCCTTATGAGATTAATCCACTTACTTGGGAACTACTTCCTGGGACTCTCTGCAAGTCAAGGCTAAATGTTGTTTGGATGTTGTATATTTTGGCCCCAGCAGCACCCTTTAATATAAGCATGTTTAGGTGAGTGCAGCCCTCTTGGTTTCATTTATATATTTGGGAGTCCAGGCCAACTCCTTGGTTTTGCACCCTCCCTATCATAGGTGCCTCATTCCATGATCCTATTTAGCCTTGACCAATAAGTTCTCTCCCATTTGGTTTTGTACAGATTGACAATATTTTTCTGTTGAATAGATTGCACAATATTTCTGTTAATACTTACACTGATCATCCACAACATCAAAACCACCAGCCTAATATCATGTAGGACCCCTTGTGCTGACAAATATGTCTGATACATCAAGGCATGGACTGCAAAAGATTTCTGAACGTGTCCTTTGGTATCTGGCACCCAGACATTAGCAGCAGATCCTTTAAGTCCTGCAAGTTGCGAGGTGGGGCCTCTATGGATCAAATTTGCTGTTCCAGCACATCCAACGGATGATCCATCGGACTGAGATCTGGGGAATTTGGAGGCCACGTGGCCTAAAACCATTCCTGACAATGTTTGCCATGTGACAGGGTGTGTTTCCTACTGAAAGAGGTCACTGCCATCAGGGAGCACCATTGCCATGAAGGGGTGTACGTGGTCTGCAATAATCTCTAGGCAGGTGGTACGTGTCAAAGTAACATCCACATGAATGCCAGGACCCAAGGTTTCCCAGCAGAACATGGCATCCGCCAACCTGCCTTATTTCCATAGTGCATCCAGCTGCCATTTCTTCCCCAGGTAAACGATGCACACGCACCCGGCCATCCATCTGATCCAAAAGGAAACCCCCTTCCATTGCTCCATGTTTCAGTTCTTACACTCACATTGAAGGCGTTGGTATACCAGGGTCATCACGGGCACTCTGACGGGTCTGCAGCCACGCAGCCCCATACTCAGCAACCTGTGATGCACTGTGTGTTCTGACAGCTTCTGTCATGGCCAGCATTACGTTTTTAATTTCACACAAAAATACTCTGCAAACCGTAGTGAACAAATTAGCCCTCAGCTGGCTGTTTGACTTGTAGGGACTTAATGTTTGCAGGATTTCTTGGTCGTATTCAGCAGAACGTCCCAGCGGTGAGTTCAAATTTATTAATAATAAGAAAAAAATCAGGCAAATTAAATTCTGCTGCTGCAGAAAGAGAAAAGGTTTCAGTAATAAGGAACCTTATTTATATATCATGTTTTCCACATTGTACATCGCCGTGGTCTATGTTGGTGCGTTACAAACAAATTATCGTGTATTCAGAATTATCTGCACCCTCCCGTTTTGTTAAGACTTGTGTCATAATGTCTAAGTAGCTAATAGATTATTAGTAAGTACATCTGGGATTTATTAAGCACAAGGACCAATTAATAGCACATTCTTGTACCAGGAGGCATTTAAAAGGTTAGCGAGATGTGTGGATTCTGTTTGTTAGTTCACGTTTTATTTATGCACGATATTTAAAGTCTCATTGTCGTTTTTCAGTTATAGTGTGTTTCTGCTATGAACTTTACACAAGTAATAGAGATTAGCTACACAATGAAATAATTACAGCTTGATAAAGGTCAAACAAATAGACGGCAGAGGACAATGTAATTATTGTGAGTACAGGTGTGTTTTCAGAAGCTCGGAGGTATTTGCAAATTGAGCTACAAAACTGCTATCAATCCTTAAGTGGAAAAGAGGAAATTAACTAGATCAGTGAAAAAACGAGTGTGGAACCAACAGATGTAACCTGTACATCATTCTGCACTCATTCCGCCTCACTTGTATTTCTCATATATCATAAGGAAAAATATCTGCGTTAGGAAGACAAATCTGTATGGTGTTCAGTCCATCGTTCAATACATGTTGTCCCCCACTCCCTCCCAAAGTATGTATTTAATAATTTAATTATCTTTTTCCAGTGACGAGCCATCCGCTGCGCAGTTTAACTCTCTGCCTCCACCGACGTGATTGAGGACTCGAGGAGGAGAATTGGGGACCTGATATGTGGCGAACGCAATGTGCGCATTCTAGGTTCCCCATAGGAAAGTATTGCATCCAGTGCTCCCCTACGGGCTCCTGCCTCATGTGACCGAGTGTTACTGTTAGAGAGACATTGACATTATAGTAAATTCCACCTGTAGCTTGTATAAGTGGGTCCCTTTAATTATGTTATTGTAGTATCCAG